TCTTATATATATATATATATGTTGTATATTCCTCAGGGATTGGCGTCCGGAAGCGTTGACATTTGCCACAACAGCTTCAGCTTTAGGCGTTTTTGGGGCCGACAATGACGAATGCCGTTCACAGAATTTTATTTTTATTTGAATTTTAATTTCAATTCGTGTTGCTTTCGCTGCATAATTCAAATTAATACATTTCGCTTATCCAAATGAGTTTTTAATTCGTTTATGGCGCATGCTGATAGCTCTGATATATCATATATACCCTTAATCTCTCAACATCAAATCAATTCACAAACGAAATAAGCAGCGGAATGGATAGAAATGATTTTTAGTTTAAAGAACAATTTTTTGCATTTCTACTTTTTAGAAGTAGTTTAAATTATTAAGTAAATATATTTCTGATAAATAGAAAACATCCTTTTCCAATGTGAATTTTCGTATATTTAGAAATGATTTCTTTTCTAGTTTTTCCAAGTGTAGTTGAGCTTCAATTTGTGACAAAGTTATGAATATTGAGATTTCTTTTATTATACAAATATTACCAAAAACAATTCATTTAAAATCAATATTTAAAAGTTAATGCTTAGCGAAGCAATGTGATAAGTTGCTTTGCTACTTTTGCCAAGCAGAGGCCAACTAAATTGCATGTTAAGCCTGCAAAAATACACTCTAAAAAAGTAGTAATAAATGGAATTTTTTTATTGGCTTTCTTTAATTTTCGCGAGGTGATTAGGTGATTGCTTCTTCACTGCGATGGTTCAGAGTTCAGGCAAGTGGTAATTCCGCATTCTGCAATGTCAGCTGTTGGTTGTCTGTTGTCGGTTGTTGGTTGTTGGTTGTCGGTTGTTGGTTGTCGATTGCATTAAGTGCACATTATCAGAGGCCTTAAGCCGCTAATTGTTGACGAATGCCGGCCATAAAATCGCGACGACAGTTGACTGAAAATGGTGGACTCTTTTTTATTGATGGCCAATAATGGGGCTCTGCCTGAGCAGAGCTGAGCCGTGCTGAGCTGAGCTGAACTGAACTGCTGCCGCCGAGTTTGGGCAGCTTGCACTTGTTGCTCCAATCGTGGCCACTTAATGCCTTCGACTGTGGATCGTAAAAGTTTTTACGAGTCACCAATTAACCGATGATAATCAAATCACTTGGAAGCGCTTACAGCGCTCCTCCTTCCTCCTTTCCCCGGGTCCTTTTGGAAATCGGGTGCAGTGGGGCAGGGGGAGGGGAGGGGTCAGCCATTGCTCCTGTCGATGCATAATTCTTGGCCGGCTGTCGTCAGCCCGATTGACGACCGTCCCGTCCACTCTGGCTATCTCTCTCTCTCTCTCTCTCGCACTCTCTCTTTCCCACTCTCTCTCGCACTCTCTCGCACTCTGACGGGGTAATAAATACTTTTACGATTCTATAATTTGATTTGGGCATTTTTATTTAATATTTCTTCTTTGCTTCACAGTTCTCGTTCTTCTTCGGCTTCGTCGTCTTGTTGTTGTTGTTGTTCTTGTTGTTGTTTTTCAACATTTTTTTTTATTCCTCACTTTTTTTTTTTTTGCCGCACATAAATTTTTTATGTGCTCGATCGTAAAATTCGTTTGATAAATTATTATTTGGAATTCGATGCTGGAACCGCCTCAATTCAGGCATTCCACACACATAATCTGCATACGAAACAAATCTAGTTTTAATACTCGTCTTTTCAGGCCTAAGATCAGCAGCTATTCGCTATATTCATATATATATATATATATGTATTCATAATATATGCGCTGATTCCGACTGGAGATTATGGAACCCTAAAATTGAATACCCTTTCTATTTATCAATGTATAAATTAGTGTCTTATTTGCAGTAGTTAATTGTTGAGGGTAAGAAATTGATAAACGACTTAAGCATTTATAGCATAAATCAAATGATTTTAGATTTCAATATGGAAGTAAATTAAATTTTAAATTAATTTTATTCCAATAATAATTTGATATAGTTTCAGCGATAGCGCGGAATATCCATATTTCTAAACGAAATATGTAAATGGAGTCGGAAACGAGCAGACAAAGAAATGTCAAACAAATTTAGATATTTAACTTATTTACCGGATTTGAAATTTAGATTTACTACAATATTTGAAAATATTTTCAGCGATAAAATGTTCAATTGGAATGGTCGGAATATCTCTGCTTTGTAAATGAAGTGTGTAAAAATCATATAATCGGAAAAAAATGGCAAACAAATTTAGAGCTTTTACATTGCATGCATTTTTGCATTGGCAGCAGCAGAAGCCATTTAATGCTATTTGACGATATTATTCGATATTCGGGCATCAAATTGACGAACAGCAAAAGGGAGTGAAAAGAGCGCAAAAGGCAACAACAACAGCAATTGAGTTGCCAGCATGCTGCTATTTACATATTGTACATACATACTTAGCAGCTTTACATGCACAAGCACACACACACACACACGCACGCTTATTGGCACGCACATAGTCAGAGAAACACCCGCACCCGTTGCAAAAAATGCCAGACAGAGAGACAAAATGTCGAAAGCGCGACAGCTGCAGCAGCGGCGCAGACGACAGCAGCAGAAACAGCAGCAGCAAAAACAACAACAACAAAAAGAACAGCAACAAATTAGAACGAGCCACCTTCACATACACACCACACACACACACCATACACAGAGCTACGCTAAGTGAGGGAGTGTGGGAGTGAGTGAGCCAGCGCATGCGAGTGAGAAAATTTGTTTTGAACTGTCATAAATCTTAATTGTGGCGGAGTGATGGAATCGGAATGCGCTCGCTGCCGACCTACCAAAGGGTGACGCGCTGACGAAACGCTGCAGCTAATTTCACAGCGAAAGAGAGCGACAAACAACTGACAAACTGAGAGAGAGAGAGAGAGCGCGCGAGCGAGAGAGTGAGAGCGAACGCAAGCATTTCCCCTGCGCTGGCATGGCTGTGTTCCAATCCCACAACGTACACACGCCGCAAAACATAAACAAGATTTATTGCACTTTTAGGGGAACGGAACATGCGCACTGTGCGCTCTCCCTCTCCCGCTCACTCACTCACTCACTCACTCGCTCTCCCTCTCCCTTTCCCTCTCTCGCTCTCCCTCGCTCTCTTGCGGAAAGCGTGCTCTCATCGCGCCGGCCGCGCGCCACAATTTCAGTCAACAACAGACCGTTACAGCGAACGATCATGTTCGAAAAGCTCTGTTGCGCGCCAAGAAGAAGTAGCACGTAAAACGCAACGTAAAAGGGTAAACGGGATACAAAAAAAGAAGCGTCGCTGTTGTAGTTGTAGTTGTAATTAATTAGTTAGCGTCGCTGTCCCCGTCGCTGTCATTGTGCGTGCGCGAGCGAGACAGCAGCACATTTAATCACGGCACATTTGTGACAGCAAAAGAAAACAAGAACAACAACAACAAAGCAAAAGGCAGCAGCAGCAAAGTAATCAACACTCTACGCTGTCGACGTCGCGCGTCAAACAACAACAACAACATCAAACAGACTGCGCATTGCTGCTGCGTTGCTGCGCCGTCGCTTAACGCAATCGAATCAGAAATTGCCGTCGCCAAAACGCGCGCTTCGTGTTTGAAACGAACGTCGTCGTCGTCGTCGCTGTCAGCGTCGTGTTTCAAGTCCAACTCTCGTCAAAGCCAGCAGAAGCAAAGCCAACGCCAACGCAGCTTCCAGGCTGTCAGACAAAACGAAACGAAACGAAACGAAACGTGCGCGTCGCTGCCACCGCGCTTTGAACTTCATTTTTTTGGTATCAATCAGCGAGCTGCGAGCAGCAGCAGCGAATGCGAACGCATTGTTGTTGTTATTGTTGTTGTTGTGTGTGTCTGATTCTTGACTGAATCAGTTTGACAGCCGACGCAGCGCAGAGGCAGAGACAGCAAACAAAAAGAGGAAGAGACTGAGCAGAAGAAGAAGCAGCAGCAGCAGCGACGCAGCCAGTGACGACACGGCCGACAACGCCGACACATTCATTCGCTGTTCGACTCTCAAACGAGTAACGACGGAATCCGGATGAAACGCACAAAACAAGAAAATAGCAAAACCAAAACACATTCACACACATACACAAACACACACACACACATTGAAATATAAAAGCGAGCGAATTGTGTGCGACTGCGACGCGTGTTCTGATTACAACAACGACAACAACAACAGCAACAACAAGAAATTCAATTATTTCAATTTGAACGCCATTTAAAAGTGTGATAAAAAAAAAATAAAACAAAATGAAAATGCATAATTTAACACAAACTGATTTATTTTCAAATTAGCTGCGTCGCATACCAACAACAACAACAACAACACATACATCATATCTAGTCAACAACAACAGCAACAACAACACGAGAAACAAAAAATTAACAATGAAATGCGCGTCAAATGTTTAATTAAGACTGATTACAACCACAACAAAACCACAACAACAACAAGTGAAGAAATTCTTTAACTACAAACAACAACTACAACAAATGGTTCAACACAAGTATACGTAAAACAACAACAACAAAAACAACAAATATATATATAAATATATGTTTATTAACATAAACGCTACAAACAAACAAAAAAATCATATTTATATTTAACAATATTTTGCTCACCAAAAAAAAAAAACTAAAGAAAAATACAAAAAAAAATAAAGTTACTTAAAACTAAAAAACAAAAACAAATCAACAAAAATTAAAACGAAGTATACGATTCAAATGCAATTATTAAATTAAAAGAAAACAAAAAAGAAATCAAAAATATTTAACATAAATTTTCTGTCTGCCATATGAAAATATTAGAAATATAAAAAAATAAATAAATTTAAATATAAATATAAATATATGTATGGGAATATATATATTACACTATTTAACACACAAGTTATACGTAGCTCAAACGCTAAAAAGTACCAAGTGCAAAAAAGAAAACGAGAGAAAAATAAACAAATAAATAAAAATTAAAAAGAAAATTTAATTAGTTGATTAATCTTACAACATATGCATATTGTGTCAAATTAAAAATTTAAGTTACAATCGAAAGAGTGCAAAGCTAAGGCAAACAGATTCTGTTTCCAGCTATCCCCTTCCCCCCAAAACCCGATAAATAATCCGCTTCTCCCCCCTCCCCTTTGGTACAAACAACCCGTCAAAATTCAGCAAAATCTGAAAATGTTGCACGAGGCTCTGATGCTTGAAATCTACAGACAGGCGCTAAATGCCGGGTAAGAAAATGATATCTAATTTTATCAATGAATAAATATGTGCTAAATATTATTTAGTTTAATATTTAAAAACTTATTTTATTTATTTATTATTTATTAATTGGCATGCATGAAAACGATATCTTATTTGTTGAATGCAGCAAAGTTTAAAAGTTAAAGGAACAATGAAAGAAAAAAGCCGGTTATTTCTTTTTGTTTTAATTGATATATGTTATGGCTAATTTTAGCTTCTGATTTGATTTTGCTATTGTTAAATAAGCAAAAAGAAGAAGACTTTTCTAACAGTAGATTAGACTTATCGATGCGATGAATACAACAAAAAGCCGGCTGTTGTATTTGAAATCAAATAAAGTTGCATAAATACAAAAATTCAGTCAGGAAGTAAGTTTTCTGCAAACATATTTTATGTGACACATGACACTTATTGACTAAGTAATAATTTTGAGTTCAAAGTGTGTTGTATAAAACGAATGCAATTCTGAAATTTAAATTTTAACAAAATGCATTTGCAAAGCAAGAGAAAAAATAATGAAAACAGTACAAATCCAATCAATCGCAATTCAAATTCAAAGGCATATCGTAGCTAGAAGCTAAGTGAGCCGAGTTAAATAAATAGCAAATAAATACATATTTAACCGATAGCGATTACTTATCTTATTTAATTGTCTTGCATCAAAAAAAAAAAATAAAAAAATAATAATAAAAGAAAAAATGGACATCAATTCACATTTTAAAGTACTTCCCATGTACAATCGCAGATACGATTACAATCATATTATTTTGGGTGTATTTCTATTGTATATCAAAGCTGATTGCGGCATGAGGTTAACATGAATTTGTGCAACAGAAATTGACTTGTTGATTTCCTCTAGTTTTGGAAAGCATTTAACCAACTTGATGTTATTTAAATATATGTATAGAAACTAGAGTTATTAGTCGAGAAATTGATGAATAAAATCTACTTTGTTATACCAACTCTCTTTCTTTTTTTTTTAAATGTGTCTTTCGCTGACTTCAGTTCAAGAATTTCCATAATTAATTTGTGTATTGATTAGATTAAATAATGCAAATATTTTTATAGACATCCACATATCAAAAATTGTATTTGATGTGTAGTAGTTCTTAGTAAATATAAATTAAATTTTGTTAAACTGGTTTGTCCCCCAAAGATACTCATTGTATCCAAACAGATATATATATATATATATATATCTATATAAAATATAAATATATAGAAAATATGTATAAGTCACCTAATTAGCTATTACTCAAAACTGGTTAACATAAGATCGCAATCACATGACAACCTTATCGTTTCGATTGCTGCCCCAAATCGCTGTATGATCCAATAAAATGATTATTTTAGCATTCGCTGTGCTATGTATGAAAAAAATATAGTGATGAATATGCGAAAAGTGTTGATGTTTCACATCGTTGTCGTTGTTGTTGTTGTTTTTGTATTTGTCGCACACACCTGTCGTTATAAATTTAAGCCTCGCAGCCCCCAATATAAAGGCCATATTTCAAGAAACACCCACCCAACAAAAAATTGATTTATAATAAGACGAATCGCTAGCATAATATCATAAATAGCTATAAATAAATCTAGTAAATATTGAACCAAGATTGTTGGTTGCTTTTGCCGTTTTGTTTGTTAAATCACTTGAAAATCATTCTATTAAAGCATAGTTACAGTTATCGCTGACTAAATGTTTTTCATAGGCATTTGGATTAAACTCGTTTCCACGATACATTTCAGTTAAAACGTAAACGAGTTTTACGTAACATGCGAAGGCGTGGGCTGTTGGCCGAGAGACAGAGAGAGAGAGAGAGAGAGAGAGAGAGAGAGATGGGCTGAAGGGGCAGTGGGGGGACACCTGTTAAACTGCGACAAATTGTGGCGCGTCTTTATTTGTTTGTTTTTTTTTTTTTGGTTTATTTTTTTCTGTTAGGTTTATAAGAAATTGGAAACTGCAACGCGATTTGTTGGCCATGTTTTCATGAATTTCCCAAAGGCGCTGACGTACGAAATGAATAAATCATGAAGGCGATTCAACAAGCCCAAAAAATCAAAAATTTCATCTGCTCCTCGTGTGTGTGTGTAGGTGTAATGTTAGTGTGTGTGTGTGTGAGCCTATTACTTTAAGATTTATGCGCACAATTTGCAGCTGGGAGATGATAGCTGTTTAGTAATATGTATTTAGTGTGGATTAGTCATGCGTTTCAATGATATCTGCTGGCAGTCAGTCATTATGCACAAGACTGACTAGCTAACTGACTAACTGTTTGACGAGCTGACTAGTTATATGGCATATAATTGTTTGGATCAACTCGTCAATCTGGCGAGTTGTGCGCGGATTATTAATGAGACAAATGCCCGCTTGCAATTAACTGCAGCATTTGAATCGATGCGAATAAATCATTTTGATTTAAGCTTCATCAAATAACAAGATTGCATATTATGATTGCTGATTGCTGCATTGCTGCAACGGGTGAATCGTTGTCGTTGCTGTTGCCAAGGCATTTTCTGTGCTTTTAATTGCAGCTTGCAATCTCAAAATCCAATTAGTAGTTTGCGCACAGCCAAACGCAGTTATTATTTATATCTGTGTGCAGCAGCGAAATAGAGAGAGGGAGAGAGAGAGAGAAAGTTGATTAACCTAATGGTAAATTAATTCACAGTATAATCAAAATATTGCCAGCTTTTGCTGCGAGTGAATCATTATTTTGTAAGTAGCCCAAAGTTTTGTTTAAATAAATGATACATGCTCGTTTCGTGTGTCGGCTTTGTGCCGTTTGACATTGGCAAATGGTCATCAATATTGTTGCACTTAGACATTGGATATACTTTTTGTACGCTATCCATCAATAAGTTTACCACAATAGATAGGGCTGATACACAACTCTATTGTGTTGGACACGTTAATGCCAGACAAAGAATTGTTGACTGATCGCTTGTGGGGTTGAAGCTTTTAAAATGTGACAAGCAAAAAAATTTAATTTAATTTAACAAAAAAATACAAATAATAATTATAATAATAAAAAGTAAATAAATGTTACATTTCTTGACAGCAAAAAACAGAGTGTCTACTTATAACAAGATTTATTACTCTTATGATGAAAGCTTTTTGCTATTTGTAATAGTAAATTTAATCGAACAACTTTAATTAACGCTTAAGCATAATTTGTTATATTTGCTGTAGAGTAAGCAGCAGTAATCCAGTAGTCTATTTAACTAAGCAGCTGTTTGCTTCTTGGCACGTGCTGGAAACTCGATTGAAAACAGGTTTTTTTTTTTTTAACAGCAAGTCTTGAAATGTATTTGAATTGAACTCGGATTGAAACTAATTAGTTACATATATATGCATTATAAATTCCTTTATTGTAAACAGAGTTCGAATTTATTTATAGAAATAGTAGAGTTGTCAACTAAGCAAAAACGCACAGAAATAACTGCAAAATATACACAATAAGATCTATTTTATTTCTAAAAATATTACAACTCTTAACTAACTAGCCGTCATAAAAAAGTTATAGGCCTAATCAGTAACTGTTAAGCGTTGCCAAATCAGCACAGCCACATTAACAACTCTCTTTAAAAGGGCAGCTTAAATGAGTCTGACTCACTTCTACTCATCTCATCATATTTCATCGTCTTTTTTTTTGTCTTTCTTTAATATAAAGCCAGGCAATAACTCTTTGGAATCAAGTAATAATCAGTCTATATAGCAATTGTTGCCATTTGTGGCAAATCAACAACTCAGCGACTCATCAAAGAAACAAAGAAAAAACTAGCTAAATAAACGAATTAAAGCCACGCCCACGCAGACCACAAAAGTTTGTGAATAAAACTGGAAACAAAAATGTTACGACTTTTATTTTTGCAATTTTTGCATTTCGAACAAAAGCCAATGAAAATATGTACATCAAAAATCATAAGCACAAAACAAAATGGTTTATGGACCCGAAATTCGATTGTAAAACACAGCGCTAAATTGAGGAAATCAAACTACAACTAAATGTATATTAAAATCAAAAGCAGAGACATATATATACATATATATACATATATATATCTGACTGTGCAGATGCACAGCAATAAAAATTTGTTAGTTATTTATGCACACAGTGCTGAGCAGAGATAAAGAGATACACAGAGATAGAGAGAGGGAGAGGGGTAGCAGGGGGGTGTTTAATTTATGCAAAATATGTGAAATGACTTTTGTGCTTTGTCGCTTTGTCGTCAGTTTTATGACCCGCCAGCTAAGCTGAAAATCGAAACAGATCTTAGATGACGAGAGACGATCTCATCTCATCGGCTCTGGTTGATGTTAATGTTGATTCGTTGATTATAATCAGCTCGCAGATGATGAGCAGCTCGGCTCATAATTCACGCTTTTCTGTCTCGAATTAAACGCCATTGTTCCAAATAAATATAACCGATTTTAACGATTTTTACGAGCAAAGCATTGGTGTGGAAGGGGAAGGGGATTGCCATCATTTCAAACAGCTGCCCAAAGTTGTGTTTTGGTTTATGGGCCTGGTTTAGATTTGAATAACAAATGAAATGTTGACATATGTTTCACATTGTTGCCATTGTTGTGCCACGTGATTTGATTGTTGCACACTGTGCCCCTATCCCCCCCTCATTCATATGATTTAGCAGCTATATATCTGATTGGTAGTAGTAATAAAGACTTCTCTCGATTATACTTATCAGCTGCGTGAAAGTCGCAAAAGTCGCAACTTGAATGATGAGCGAATTGAAAGCTTTCACTAATGATCTATGGCATTTGAGAGAGAAAGATACAGAGAGAGATCGAGCGAGCGAGAGAGAGAGAGAGAGAGAGATAGTCTGATTTGTCCATTCACTTTTGCAATTAAATCAGTGAATACTGTTATCTCTTTCCATCATCATTAGAAGATTATGTAACTGGTGTTGTGCGAGGGGGAAAGTTCTTTCAACTCTTTGCCCACCAATGGGCGATAAGGAATAAGAAATTATTGAAAGTCGATTGTCAGTCAACAAATTTGATTTAAGTTTAACAGAAAAAAAACATAAAAATAATCAATGATTGTGGTTTTCCGTATAATTAACACAATTTATGATTGGTGACGATTGGTTTCATAGACTTATAGATGCTGCTTATAGATGATTGATTATCGAGTTTGACCACTTCTTAATTTTTGATGTATTCCGCAACTAGCTCAATAAATCTTTATTAATCGCGTTTTTTATGCAGTTTAGATATTTATTAAGAACTAAAGTTATGAATAAAATTACTTATAAATAAATTTGTAATTAATTTTTATTAAGTGCAGATAATTGTATTTTATGACACACATTACGCTCATCATATAGAATAATAAATAATAAATATTCTCATCATTTCTGGTAACACATAAAACATAACACATCATTTTACAATAAATAAGTGGAAAAGTGTTTAATTTGAAGTCCGCATTTCGTAGCTCAATCTTTAAGTAAGCAATGATATTAAATTGAATTTAATTACCAACAGAAATCGTATAAATATTTATTTTTTTCCTTCATTTAAATTTAAATATATTTTATTTATATTTTTATTTTAAATTCATTTGCTGCTTGCTGCATTTTTGCCGTGTCGAGTGATATTAGTCGACGATTAAATAAATATATGTATATCAATAGATAAATAATTATAAATTTCCCGTTTCCCTTTTGCTTGCAGCGCTCTGCCCACAGCACGTCCACGTTCCACAGAATCGGCGAATTCCAGCGAGCGTTGTCCCTCGCACGATTCCAATTCCTCGGACAATGGTGGGCAGCGGGATGCGGCGAATCTGTCGGCGGGTGGTGTGATGCCACCCGTGCCGACATCGATGCACTCAACGACATTCCCGGCGGCGATGCCGCAATCGCTGACCGCCCAGCCTACCTCAATGGAGGCCTACCTGCACATGGTCGCCGCTGCCGCCCAACAATATGGCTTCCCGTTGGCCGCTGCCGCCGCCGCCGGTCCACGTCTGCCTCTGCCGCTGCCCAGCGAGGCGGCGGCGCCATTTAAGCTGCCGCCCCAAGCATCACCGACGGCGTCCAGCAGCAATTCGGAGGCACTCGATTTTCGAACCAATCTATATCCGCGCGCTGAGTCCGCAGAGCCGGTGGCCTCCGAGGAGGAGGAGGAGTTCGATGATGGGGCCAACAATCCGCTAGATTTGTCGTGCGGCACACGGAAACGCGGCCACGAGAACTCGCCCAACGCCATCGGTCAGATTCAGGTGAAGAAAATGTTCAAATCCGATAGTCCGCCAGCGAATGCCGTCGCATCGGCGGCTCCAGCGAACAACGCCCCACCGCTGATGCCCGGCGTCAATCCCTATTTGGCGGCGGTGGCAGCAGCGAATATCTTTCGCACGGGACAATTTCCCGATTGGAATGGCAAAAATGATTTGGTCGTCGATCCGCTCGAGAAGATGTCCGACATTGTGAAAGGTGGTGCATCGCTGCACAAGGAGAAACCGCAGCAGCCGAGGAAGGCAACACCACCGACGCCAGTTGCAGCAGTCACTGCACCACCGCCCAAAAGTCCTGCTAATCAAACAGGTGGCTCCTCCTCAAATACGACACCCACAGATGGTGGTGGTGGTGGTGGCAGTGGCAGTGGCACTGGTGGTGGTGTGACCAAAGCACGCCACAACATCTGGCAATCGCACTGGCAAAATAAGGGCGTGGCCAGTTCAGTGTTTAGGTGCGTGTGGTGCAAGCAGAGCTTCCCCACACTCGAAGCGCTAACCACGCACATGAAGGACAGCAAACATTGTGGTGTCAATGTGCCACCGTTTGGCAACTTGCCCAGCAATCAGTCGCATCATGCAGCATCCAACCATCACCAGCAGCAGCACCACCACCATCAACAGCAGCAGCAACAGCAGCAGCACCACCATCAGCACCAGCAGCAGCAGCAACAACAGCAACACTCTCGCAAACAAACTGGCAACTCGTCTCAGCCCTCGGCAAATGTAAAGAATGCGTTCCAATTTCGCGGGGATCCACCGACACCGCTGCCCCGCAAATTGGTGCGCGGCCAGAACGTGTGGCTGGGCAAGGGGGTGGAGCAGGCGATGCAGATATTGAAGTGCATGCGCTGTGGCGAGAGTTTCCGCTCTCTGGGCGAGATGACCAAGCACATGCAGGAGACGCAGCATTACACCAACATACTCTCCCAGGAGCAGAACCTCTCCATCAAGTCGGGCAATTCAAGCAATGATCACAGCAAGGATGGTGGCCAGAATAGTTTGAGTTCCGAGGAATCTCGCACACTGTCCGCCGTCCTCACGTGCAAGGTGTGCGACAAGGCGTTCAACTCCCTGGGCGATCTCAGCAATCACATGGCCAAGAACAATCATTATGCTGAACCCTTGCTGCAATCGGCTGGGGCACGCAAGAGACCCGCGCCAAAGAAACGCGAGAAATCGCTGCCGGTGCGCAAGTTGCTCGAGCTAAAGGCACAACCGGAGGAGCAGCCCCTGGTCGAGAAGTCGCCGTTGTCGGGCAAGCCAGAGAAGAGCGAGGCAGCCCTATTTGCCGAGCGGATGCGCCAGTATATAACGGGTGTCAAGTCACCCGAGGAAATAGCCAAAGCCGCCCAATTGCTGGCCAAGAATAAGTCACCCGAGTTGGTGGAGCAAAAGAATGGTGCTGGTGGTGGTAGTAAGGCAGCTGCGGCCGGTTCCTCATCGGTGCTCAGTGCCATTGAGCAGATGTTCACCACCAGTTTCGATACACCCCCGCGACACGCCAGCCTCCCAGCGAGCAGTCCATCGAACTCCTCGACGAAGAACACATCGCCGGTGGCCAGCAGCATATTGAAGCGTTTGGGCATCGATGAGACGGTGGACTACAATAAGCCACTGATTGACACGAGTGATCCGTATTATCAGCACTATCGCTACACCAGCAGCGAGCGCAGTGGCAGCGAGTGCAGCGCTGAGGCGCGACCACGCCTCGAAGCGCCCACGCCCGAGAAGCAGCAGCAGCCGTTGCCGCCTACCGCACACCAGGAGTTGCCCATCAAACAGGAGCCCGACTCGAGTCTCAAAATGGACATCAAATCGGAGCTGTGCGATGAGCAGCCGGATGCAGTTGCTGCTCCTCCAGCTTCTGCTGCTGCAGTTTCGCCCAAGACAGAAATTGAGACACCTTTGCTAAATGGCAGCTACAACAACAACAACAATAACAACAGTAATAATAATAATAACAATAACAACAACAGCACCAGCAACAACAATGGCAGCTCACCGAAATCCTCGTCGGCGGCAGCCAGTCCACAATCAAGTCGCTTGCCACCGCGCAGCCCGGCGGATAGTCAACGCTCCGGCACACCCAAATCGCCGGCATCCAGCCACAAATCGTACGATGGCAGCGGCGATGGTGCCAATACCAAGAAATATCCCAGTGATTCCCTCAACGCTCTTTCCTCCATGTTCGATTCGCTTGGCAGCAGCAGCAGCGGCGGCAGCAGCGCTGCTCAAACACGCGCCAAACTTGCAGCTGCAGCAGCAGCAGCGGCGGCAGCAGCAGCCGCGGTAGCTTCTGCAAATTCTGCTGGAGATGTGGCGGTGGCACCAGAGAATCTGAGTGCGAACAATTCGTTGGCGGCACTGCGTCAGTTCTGTGTGAAGAAAGAGAAGACGGCCTAAGGGACAAATGGAGAGTGGGCAACGCCGCAAAGAATTGCCACCGAATATATTTTTCGTTGTTTTTGATAAACAAAACGATTTTTATCAACCTTTTTGTTTGCCACGCTTGGCGCGCGCACACCACGCCCCACCACGCCCTAATCTGCGCCTCCTTAATCAGCATTACGGCGGAGCCCGGTGGGGGGTGGTGATGGTGATGGGGGCAAAAGTCAAACGACTCTCTCCATACCCAAATACCACATCTATATATATGTTATATGTTGAGATCACAGCAGCATATACACACATATATATCGGATGATCCGATGATCCGATGATCCGATGATCGGATGAGCGTCTTGTCGAATGGATATTTCGACATTGAGGCTGCGCCTCGCGGCAGCTTGCCTCTTCGGGGGCGTTTGCTTCCATGGCCACAATTGGAGCACAACAATCTGCCGCCCACTGCGCGCCACGCCCACACACAAGTGTCAGCCACGACAACTGGGCCAACTTTTTCAAGGTAATTATCACAATGCAATCAAATTCAAACCAAAAGCTTACATAAAATCAGTCAGATAATAAGCAATAAATTTTGTTTCCTAGCTTAAGTAATAATTATCTTTAAAGTAGAAAACAATCTTTAAATTCTATTGTATATATTTAAAATACTAATCAAGAAAAATACTTCTTGCTTTTGCTTGCAGGATTGTTCCCGCCATCCTTGAAAGACTGCGGCCTCTGTCAGCTGAAAAGGGCGTTTCTCTTTAGCCATTTTGGGCCCATTGCGTTTACACAAGCCCAAAAAAAAAAAAAATTAATTAAATTTAAAAAAAAAATACAAAAAAAAAAATCATAAAAAAAGAAAAGACAAAAAAAAATTAATAATGAAAACAATAAGAAAAAAGCCCTTCTCAGGGCTGCCAAATGCCTGGGCAAAGAGAATGAAATTTGGAAAATGAATCATTGTGATCAAAATAAACCGACTTTTATTGAATTTATAAAACACAACTTGTTTCTCTCGTAAGATTTTTAAATTTCAGCATACAATCAACGATTCATTATAATATCTGAAAGAAAAAAAAAACTTGGGAACAGCTCTTACAATTCTTTAAATATACTCTTCGAATACTTCGAGAACTTTGAGAACTTTGAATCCATTTTCGATTAGCACTCAAAATATGTTAAAGTTCTCTGATCAAGAGTTCTCAATATATAGTAAACTTTATATATAGCAAAGATGATATCATATATTGGGACAAGAGTTTAGCTCTTAACATTTGTTCTCAATACAGGGAAAAGTCAATTTTTGTCATTAGGGAAAGGAAAGCAGAAAACGTTGGACAAAGGTTATAAATACATTAACTTTGCATCCGATCCACCCAGATATTAATTTGAACGTGAATGGAACGCGACTTGCAACTGCAGCCTTTGCGGTAAGCTTTTCTAGTTGCGCCTCTTGTAAGCAGTGCCGGCAGTCGGCTTCTTCTTCTCGGGTAGTCGCTTGCCGGTGACAAACGAGGCGAGCAGATCACCCAGATCCGGCATATTGTTGGGTATTTGGGGGAATTGTATGCTCTCGATTTCACGCTTAGTCTCCGGATCGGTGATGAGACGGGACAGTAGCAGCATCATTAGCAGCGGCACCACCATCAGCAGCACCATCGGATTCAGCACATAGTCCAACAGATTCCACTGCTCACGGGTTCGGAAATATTTGCGACGCTCGAGCGGCTTCAGTAGGAGCGGATAGGGCAACTTGATCACATGCGATGGTTTAATGTGACTCAACTGGCGTGCTCGTATGTTGCCATTCCGGGCAATCTCCACACGAATCGGCTGGAAGAATATGTCCGCATGATGGGCATACAGCACATAGCTGCCAGCTGGAATGCCGCTGATCATAAAGTTGCCATCCCGTCGCACAAATCCCTGATACTCGCCGTTATCAATCGACAGCTTGATGTCCGCTGGCCACTGCGAACCGACCCTCAGCCCTGGACCTGGGGCCAGAATAATGCCCTCGATTGTGTAGAGCGTGGTAGCGCTGTGAGTGCTCAGCTCCCTGAAATTATCGTCAGATAGCAAAAGTTTTGGAAAAGCAAAGAGCCCAAGAAAAGTTAGAAATTTTTTAAACATTTTTCGATTTGATTTCAGGAAAACTTCTCTGACTGAAACGAAAGTCAACAGAATATTTGAGTGCGTCAAAGCATACTATGTCTATGGCATATTAGAACTTATTTTCTGTAGCTCTGAGAGTGCCTGAGACCGGCTATTGATGTTGATCAAGTATATATATACCTTATGGGATTGGAAATGGTTGCTTCAGCCTGCTATATTTTTTGCACAACTTCATTCAGGTAATAAAAAATTGCTTTATTTCGTTGTCAGATATTGAGAAAGTCTGCAAAAATGGTTGCACTCTTTTAAATATCGCTCTAGATGCATCTAAATGCCGTCGGCAGATGCGAAATCGTTTTAAAACTAGACGCAGTCATCTGTTGCAAGTTGCAAGTCATTAAAGTGATTACACGGTCATGAGTTGTTGCTTCCTGAATGATGTGAATGACTCATTTGAGTGGAGCCACACCCACATTCAATTGCATTCAACTCGTGACCAATGTGACTTTTTTTGTTTGTTTGCCGATCTGCCGCACATGTGAAGCAACAGCAACTAGCTGCTGAGCCTTATCGTGCTGCCGCCACTCGAATTGGCAGCCAAAGTAGCTGCCACAAATTTGCACTCTTGTGCGGAACGTTCTTTTCTTATTTTTTTTTCTTTTTTTTTACTGTATGCGACTCGTTGTCGCTTCTGTGCCTGTGCAGCCGCAAAATCCCTCCAAAATTGCCTCAACGCGCTCAACACGATTATGCGATAATTTCGATATGCCAACTTGCAACGCGCAACGCGCAACTTGCAACATGTGCAATCATATTTTTGTATGCCCTTACAGTGGTTATGCTGCAGGCTTCTTTGATGCTACAAGAATTATGAGTTGAACTGACTAAATTGATCTCAATTATGTTTTAAGTTCAAGAAAAAAGATTTAATTTAATTCTTTTAAAATCTTTAAAAAAATCTTTTTAAAATGTAGCTCATCATCTTATGAAAATTCTTTATTTACAACGTTGGGCAGCTTGTAAAAATCTTAAAGAAATTAGCTCACCTAAAAACAATTAATCAAACATTTAGTTATATATGATTTCTTTCTAGATCTGACAGCTTTCACTTGGCCAATGTCTGTAAGGGTATTCAAATTGCATAATTGTGTTTGAGCTCTCCGAGCTACCTGTAAGTAGCGCTGTGATTTCAACAAGTGCTCTTCAGCGTTTGCGCCAGCGCACAAGATTTTCCAATAATTTTGCGCTGATTATGTGGCTGCCGATTCGAAGAGAACCACTGCGATACCAGAGACAGAGAGAGAGAGAGAGATATAGAATGAGAGAGAGAGAGAGAGAGAGAGACAGGAACATAGATTGTTCCAGTAGAAGCAGCAGGGCGCGCTGCTCAGCCTCATCTCCAGCCTCAGCCTCATCTCCAGTCTCAGCCTCATCTCCAGCCTGAGTCACAGTCTGAGCCTCAACTCCTGCCCCAGCCTCATACCCAGTCACAGTCTCATTCCGAGCCTCATCATCATCATCATCGTCGTCATCGTTGTGTCGTCATTATGGCAATTTCGTGGCCGTCGTTTGATTTAGCGCCATTGGAGCCCAGTTAAAGCACAGGGAGTGCTGCTGCTGGTACTGGTGCTTGTTTTTGTGGTGCTAGCTGTGTTCACTGTGGTTGTTGTCGCTGCTAGTTGTTTGTATTTAAATTTTGTTGTTGCTGCTGCCGCTGCTCTTGTTGGGCTCGCTGCCATTAAACTGAGTTGTTGGCTGCGCACAATTGACAGCAGAGGCGCATGAAAATTTAAATTATGGCTCCTTACCCATTTGGTGTATCTATGTGCTACCTATTTTTGTCTGAATGCAACCAAACTGCAACTGCAACTGCAACTGCAATTGAATGTGTCTTGGCATTTGCTCGTTTAACTGCACTTTATTCCGTTGCAGATTAAGTTTGCAATTTCAGCACAAGTCATCGATTTGAGTTGATTGTTGATCGTTGATGTGTTGAATGTTGGCAACTTGATTTGCCATTTACCAAAACATGCCCCATGTCAACTAATCAACAGACTTTCATTTGCATGAATTTTGAAATAAGATTCTTTGATGCCAGCTGTGTTGTCCAGCTGAGTTGTTTCCATTGTTGTTCAGCTGCACTTGCAACAAGATTTTGAATTGAATCTATATGCGAGCTAAGACGACAATTTTCCATACCTTATATAGCCTGCTAGTATATATATATATATATTGTACTGATGCCCCAAACTAAGTTTAATAAGATCAAACTCAGCTAGCTGGTCTGATAAAAGAGCGCAATCAAATCTAGTTATATATATTTACCAATATAACTCATATAAAGCAGAATTCACTTCATTATACATAAATCTCGTTTGTGTGATACTATCCAAAAAAGAAATACTGTGGAAACCAATCTAAAGCAAACCCGTAAAACTAGTTATAGTGAACAAAGTCAGCTGTCAACCGAGCTGTCAACTTTTGACGACCAAAAAATCTAGTTTCATGGGTAAAATAATATAAATAAATGCTATATTTTGATGTTTGTTCTTTTTTTTTATAAATGCTGCTGGCCATTTAAGGAAAACTGTGACTATTTCACTAAAAAAGGTGACTGAAAAACGCTTGTAGCATAATTGAAACTCACGATTAAATTCATGCAAATTAAAAGTAAAAAATATTCAAATATATATATATATATATATATGCTATGCTCTTTGAGGTCCGGTCAAGGGATTCCGTGTTCTATGAAATGAGTTTTCAGGGAATGCCGAAATGTGTTAAGATATGCAGAAGCCGTCAGCACGAAACATGAAATGAATCTGATGCTGATGCTGATGCTAAGCCAAATGGATTTGGCTACTCGCTGTGGTTAATAATTTCAAGAATTGACACAAACTTAATAAATCACTCAGAAGGTCCCAAAAAATGTTCCGAGCGACAAGGACAAGGACAAGGGAGCCTGCCACAAAACGAGCAAATCGTGCAATACTTGTTGGCTGTCAGGATTGGTAACGTTTTCGGTAAGTTACTCCGATACAGGGCCCAAGCCATGAACACACAACAAGCCACAGAGTAGCGACTAAATGACCCATTGTTTTTGGTATTTGGTTCCTAAACAATCGACTGCGATTGAGGCTGTTGTTTTTTTTTTATTTTCGAATCGAGAAAAAAAAAAACAATACAAAGGACCTGGTCCAAGATCAGCGCCTACAAGTCAGGAGACAATCGATCGACGAGGCTGCAGATCTGTCGCTTCGACAAATATCGCGCATGAATATTTAAAAGTTTTTCGCCAAAAACCGAAAAACAAAAGGTTTCAGTTTTGAGTTGAATATTTATGGCTGTCAGTTTGGATCTTTCATTGGAATTGCAATGCAAATCATTTCACGTATAAGTGAATTATGATCAAGGCGAAAACATTCATTAAATGTTTGTTAAACAAAACTGCAGCGCTGAAGCTGATAAGAATGCCAGTTGTAAATTCGATTGATTATCTTTTACAGTACTATTAAGCGATTTAGTTACATTGTTGGGTATAAGGGACTAGGGTCACGTTCTAAGTTAGATCACGTAAGAATGCTATAATTGAGATACCTCAACTAGGAGATACTCTGATCCTCTCTTGTGATTGTTAAACACACCTCTCTTTCGACTTTTCAGTGCATTCAAAGTGCATATATTAAGTCTGCCAGTCATTATTTGAATTTATTACCATTCTGTGGAATGAATAAGCACCTTAGACATGTAGGTCTGCCTTGTAAATCCTTCACTGGGCTATCGATACGTTTTGATTGATTTATAAGCTTTTAATCATTCATGATAATAATTCTGAGTAGGTGACTTGCATTGCAACAGATTAGATTAAGATTGTTTATGAAATCGCCGCTATTGTTACTACGCTAAAGTGGTATCAAAGAAATATATTGTTTTATTGGAACAGGTTAGTTTTCGCACGAGACTGCTTAGCTTATCAAGAAACCAACAAATATTTAAATATAAATAAAATCTTAAAACAATTTAAGACAATAATTATAGTTACAAAATGTAATATGTGCTGAGAGTTCAATCAACAAATTAAGTAACAAATTTTCAACACATCGCCAAATGTTCTTCAAATTGAATAATGACAAAGCATGATAACATTTTTTTATAAGCTATATTTTATATGCTATAATAAATGAATCATATCTTTGCTAGATTGGCTAAGACTGTTGCAACTATGGAACTACATGCCACATATAGTTAGTAAGTTGAACTCTGCCTAAAATGTTGCTGCCAAGCGCCTGGTTGTAAGGTGGGCCTTGCCCCGCTGATGAATGCACTTTAACTAAATTCCCCGTGTCGCTACATATTCTAATAAGCGCAGAAATATCTTCTAATTAAAAGAAATTGCTGAACATCCCCGGCGGATAGCTAAGCAATTTTTGCAGCTTTTTTTTGTTGTTCTTATTGTATTTTTTTGTGGTGTTGTGTGTTGTGTGTGCAGCCAATGAATCAGCCAGACTCCAGATATGGTTGCAGCGTTGACGACCACGACGACGACGGCAACATTGAGGACGATGATGATGAGGAGGCAGCTACAAGATGGAGTGTTAGGGAGAGGGGCAGCAGGGAGAGTGGATGGGGAGGCTGCGATGTGTGTGAGTGCGCGCGCATTTAAAACAAGTTCAAGATGCAAACAATGGATCATTATCCAGATACAGAAAGCAGAAGAAGAGCGCAACAGATACAATCGAGCGCAATCGCCAGCAGTCGCCAGCCAGCCAGCCAGCCAGCCAGTCAGCCAGCCATCCAGGCAACCTTCCAGCCATCCAGCTATCCAGCCAGCCTGCTAGCCAAAGCATTCCCATAGGTTACACGAGATGCCTGTCTCAGCGAGCAGCAGTCCAGCGAGCAGCAGGGCAAACTGCGCAAACTGGGCAGCTTAAGGGGAGGTGAAGAGGAGGTTCATCGGATCGTAGCTTCGATGGCTCTTGTTGTTTATTGATTACACGCTTTTTGGGGAATGCGATGCATTGGCAATGGTGGGCAGGGACTGGGACTGCGACTGGGACTGGGACTGCGACTGGTGCTGTGGGGACCCAGTTGCCATAATGGTGCGGATGCCAACGGCTGCAACATGCGCCTGTCATGCGATCGCCGCCAGAACATAACATCCATTACAGCGGATCGGGCCGACGAGACGACGATGCGACGATGGAGACGATGGCAAACGATGGAGACGATGGCAAACGATGGAGAACGATGGCGAATGCGACGCTTACGATTGTCGATGCGATTGGGGAACGGACCAGCTTCGCTGGAGGAGCTGATGCTGATGCTGAAGCTGAAGCTGAAGCTGAGCGCAATATGAAATTCAATGCCACATTTGCAACATGAACTAGAAAATAAGCAAATGAAATTACAACTGCAACAAAGGCGACAATGCAAATGCTCTACGTTCTAATTATTTGTGGTAAATTAAGAAATATATTCATAATCTGAGTAGATGATGGATATATTGAATATTTATGCATGAATCTCCTAATAAATAATCCCTCTTAAATAAGAAATTAAGGAATTTCGTTAGCTTCATCAAGAGGACCCTGAAAGCTCTTTGCCATGTCTTAAAGCATTCAAAAGCTTTAATTTGGTCATATTTTAATAATATCTTTATCAAACTGAAAGTTCCCTATAATGACTTAAAACTTTGACTAACTACAAGAGCTGTTTTTTATTTGTAATAAAGTAAGCTGCAAGTTCAGCTGAATCAGTTATTTTTTGTTGGAATCTTGAAATTAAAAATGAAATCCAACTAAAACTAAAATAATTTCTGTCGAGATCAATCGAGATATCATTTTAGCAAACTTATTAAAAAATGCTTAACACCCTTTCAATTTGTATGTGGCTCAAAGGGTAAACTGCTGGTGCTCTGCCTCCTGTGCATTTAAATACAAAATATCAAAATTAGCATTTGTAACAATGGCGAATTGGCCAGATCGAAAATAATGGAACTGACCTGGCATAACCAGCGACGATCTTGGCCACGGCATCGCAACGGCAACGGCAACGCTAGCCTCGTAAATCAGACATGAGCAGCCAGACCCAATCCAGCAAGAGGTACACTAACCAATGCGGCTGATAGGATTGGGCGTTGCTAACGGGGTAGGGGAGTGCGGCGCTTGTGGCGGGTGGTGGCTGCCACGACAATTGCACCAAATACTACACTGGCAATGGTCAATGTGTGATGTCGTCGAATGTCGTCTGTGACGACGACGACAACGACGACGGCGACAACATTAACAACGGGAGCAGGCTACAGGTCGTTCAACAACCAGGACGACAACAACATCAACAACATCAACAACAACAACTGCTCGCGATTGGTACAAAAAATGCATTGCTCCAAAGGCCAATCAGCCGTGACTGCAACGACAGCGACAACAGCAACAACAACAGCAACAACAACAGCAACAACAACAGCAACAACAACAGCAACAACAACAGCAATAGTAACATCAACAACAACAACAACAATATCTGTAACATAGAGCAGCATTTGTAGTATATCACATTGCAGCTTTATACTACTTGCAACCCATATTTGTATCTCGTAGCTTTTGCGACCCGTCTCAACTTGTTGTGATTGACAAAAAGTCAAGATTTTCGATGTTTACGATTGGCTTTGCTGATCTTTTTCGCTTGGAACAGCAAATAAGAAATTACACTGACAATATTTGAGATATTTATATCTTTTGCAGTATCTTTAATATAGACTCTCAATATATTTATGAACTTATTTGCATCTGCAGTACACAAAGCAATGCTCGAGTAAGAATAGCATTCTTCTTTGTGGCTTATCCGTAAACGTTTGTATAGAATCAGTAATGAATAAATTTGATTCATTTAGTGAAGCTCTAGTTTATTTTCTTATATCTAGTTTATTTTCTTAATGGGAATGCAATTGAGGATCTTTAAATGCACGTCCAAACTTGATGTATTGTAAAGAAATGTTGTTTGTTTCTTTCTTTTCCTATTATTTTTAATTAAAATACTTTTAGTTTCCGGTTCCGCATCGCTGAACGAATAAATTCAACGTTTTGTTTATCTACTACCCATTTCACTAAACAGTTCGTGATGATTGAACAAAATGTGAATGTCTTTTACTCGATATTCAATCGAGCGTATCAATTTCAATGTTGTTACGATCTTGTATCTTTTACTTTGGCTGCCATTTGACAATCGGACAACATCGATGCCGAGTTCAACATCGAGTAACAAGTAATATCTACCAAAAAGTAACTAAAACAACAGAGCGGAGCTTATCTTAATAGGATTGATAAGCGCAGGAATTTGCTGAAAATTACCGATTTTCTTGTTGCTGATTTCTTTTCTTTTTTTTGGCTATATGATAGTTCAAGGAGAGAGAGAGAGACAGAGAGAAAGAGAGAGAGGCAGAGGCGGTCAGAGAGAGGAAAAATTAAGTAGCGCTAAGAAATTAACCCGCAGGTCCTTTTGCTGTGAACGATAAAAGCGATCTCATAAACAAAGCCAATTTGGAAGCGGGCAATGGAAATGCGCCTTGGGGAGACTCCACAACAACAACAACAACAGCAACAACAGCAACAACAATCTGCGGTCGTCCACACAGCACACAGAAGCAGCTACTTTAAATGAACAATTTTATTTTTATCCCGCAAACAAATCTTGCCAAACGAATGTTTTACAATTGGCCATCGAGGCCGCAGTTCGCAGTCGGCAGTCAGCAGTCAGCAGTCGGCAGCCGGCAGTCAGCAGCCGGTGCAGGTCCAGCTTTGGCTATAGCTTCCAGCCGAAGCGTATTTAAGCAACATTATTGCCAAATCGTGACCATAGTTCCATGAAACTGATATGGACCAGCCGTTGTGCTATTCCACAACCACCATCAACCCTCTCCCCCGCTATCTCTTTTTTCCCGCTCAAAAGCCCAGCTGCAATCGAAATCCATGCCACGCCTCCCCCTACTGCTGCAGCGGCCAAAAGCGCTTGATGTGGCGTCTAC